ATAGTATGCATATTGTTAGCAAAGTCCGTGGCAGGCTAAACGAAAATCATCCACAAAAAATCTACCAAGTTGCCGAAATTGATAAAATCTCGTTTATTTTGATTAGGAATTATTATGATTAGGAATAGTTGAGTTAGTTTCAATTTTTGGTGCAAGAGCCAATTATATACCTGGCCAAACACTTAGAGTATATTAGAACTCTGGTTAAAATTTTTGAAAAGTACCCGATGTCATTAAGATACTTAAGAAGGATTCGATGTCGAGAGTCACTAAGGACGGTTGTTGAATAAAGAAAAGAACAATTAAAAGATCGTCTTTTAATTTTTAAATTGGAACACTATGTCAAAATGTGCTTTATGGTTAATGGTTCTCTTCAACTCCAGTTAGCAGACACTGGTTCTTTTAGTAAGATGCATAAATTAATTCATCTTGTACGACCAATGCCCAACGTAATTTATTTATAAGAGCCTCAATATTTCTGGAGCAATTTAGGGTAATATATGCGTAAATTAACGATTTTATTTCATGCATTATTAAATTCTGTCTGCCTGTAGGTACTTAAAACAATTGTCATTACAGTTTGAAAATTATGTAGTTACATAAAGCTTTTAGAAAGATTGTGATTGAATTTGCTATAGAATCGATTTTTTCATTTCTTGAAATTCTTAAATACCTCAGAAATCCAGGAAAACAAAATTCTAAAATCTTTATAATCAAGATTAATTAAGGTAGAATTTGAATAGCTACCAAGCAGCTGCTAAAATCTAAATGAATTTAATTATTATGTTTCGAAATGGAAAAGTATTTTAAAGCTAATAAGATTATTTGGCAATCAGAAATGAAAACAGAACTTGCAGAATGAAATTTCATTGAAATAACCGCATTGGGTGAAATAAAGGCAGATGCCACATGTTAGTCAATTTTGGAGAAATCGGCAGACATGGGTTTAAAAGTTTAATGGAATGCGCGAAAATAATTTTTTTTTATATACTACAGGTGAAGTGAGTTGCTTTGTCTGATTATTGAAACTTTCAATGATATGAAATAGAATATTGAGCAAAGGATGAAATGGAACAGATAAAGAAAGGTAAAGTAAAAATGGAGGTATCTTTATGAAGGTATCTGTTCCATTCCTAGAACATATGTTTTTGTAGATCAGACAGCAGAAGATAAAAGGTTCCTTTTCACAGCGTATTTGAATGTAAGAAAAATATTTGGTTTTAAATGAAACAGATGTAGATTTGGTTTTAAGTGAAACAGATGTAGGTAACAGCAAACAGTAATTAGAGATTTAATTGTTATTTGGGCAGCAACAGCTTGTAATGATGTACTTAATGGAATAACAGAAAATGGATATTGGTTGGATATGAGAAGTGAAACTCCTCCACATGCTTTATTTCCATGAATACAATCATTTCTAATGTGAGAATAAAACTTTATAGCTGCTTTATGAGATGTTTTCAAAAAAGTTTCTTGCAAAGCAAAGCATATAGGAGTATGGTTGTCAATAATAGTTTTAATATCTGTCAAATTACTATAAAACCCACTACAATTCCAAGATAAAATTTTATTAATCATTATTTATTAATCTTAGATTTTGTTTTCTTAGGACTAAGGTTAAATGGCGTTACCATCCCCTTTTCAATTATCATTCCAGAAATATTATGCTCATTTGCACAATTCTCGCCAGTGCTCATCGCATCTGATTCTGAATTGTTCTTGTGTGTTAGAAAGTTTTTTACGATTTTTATTAAATCGGTTTTGTCTGCTTTTTGATACGTATTTCGGTTTACTAACAAATGGAGAATGTGTTAACTTTTTATGCAAAACGCTTACTAATAGTGGAGTTAATTTCAAATATTGACTATTTTCAGCATTGTTTTGGGCTTGTGCTAATTGAGTCGAAGTAGACTGTACTGAGTTTTGTGCTTGAGATCGATGAGATATTGAGTTTGGTTTCTGTTGCTTTGCCTGAGCAGATTTTAGATTAGAAGAACTTTCTTAGGTGTTATGGTTTTAAGTGTTTGAGTTTCAGTATCGTTTACATCACATTGAATGCCTATAGATTCAGTAGCTTTTGGGCTTGATACTATTGCCGCATAGGAAACGTTAGGACGAGGCTGTGAGCTTAGGAATTTCGTTTTTGCTTCATAATATGAAAGGCGCTGCATTACTTTAATATTAAGACTTTGTTCTTCTTGCTTTCATTTTGAACAACGACGAGCAAAGTGAGGTTCATTGCAGTTTACATATTTTTCTGGAGAAGAGCAGGATTGGTATGTGTGTCCAGTTTGGCCACAACGAGAGCATGTTTCCCTACCCCTACAGTTGTTAGTAGCGTGACCAAACTTTTGGCACTTAAAGCAGCGGAGAGGATTAGGTATGTACGGTCGAACTTTACAATTTTTATAACCGGCTTTTATATCAGTTGGTAAGTCAGGGTCATTAAAAGTCAAGATTAAGTGCTGTGTGGTAAAAATATCAGTACCTTTTTTTATTGTTATATGACGTGCATCTATCTCGGCCTTGGCTACTAAGACCTTCTATTATTTCAGATGTTGGTAATGATTGGAGAGAATTATCGCGAAAAACGCCTTTAGATATATTAAGTGTATTATGTGGTGTTACAGTTATATTAACGTTTCCAAGTTGGTGTTATTTTAAGAGAGAAGCAGACTGTTTTTCAGAATTTGTTTCTACTAATAGGTCACCCGAGGGCATCTGACGCACATTTTTAGGGTTTCCTATGTGTGTTTCCAAAGATTTCTAGACTAGGAATGGTGACATTGAAGACAATATCTTTTCAGTGGAACTTAGTATAAGAAATTTCGCCTTAGAAAGGTCACAATTTGGGCATTTTGAAAGGATAAAACTAGGTGAAATGGTTGATGCTCCGCTTTTGTTTCGGTGAGCAGAACTAAACACCTATTCATTTTCAGTCACAGAAAATTAGACAAACTTCGACTATCAGCGGCACTACCCACCACGGAGTCCAACTTGGGGATGTCAGTAACAAATATGAATGTGTTACCTAAACACCAGTGCTAACCGACAGCTATACGCCCGAAAGTCACCCCTGAAGCCGCCTCCACCCTTAACGAGGTGCCCAGTAAGTGACCCCGGGCTTGACCTTAGCCAACAGATGACGCTTGTGACTAGCCGATTGATACACACAGGCCAATATGCACCTCCTGCTTACCTGAAGCAGCGGCCAAAGCAGTGTGTTGGGTTACCAGGGTGCCCCTCAACCGCCAAGATCCCCCTTTCCAGGGACACAGGTCTCCACGCACGGCAAACACGCGGATGGTTTCCAGGAGCATGAGGTTGTCAACTGCGGAGCTGCATTTGCGAAAGCCACTTTGCTTATTTGATAAATTTTTTCGGGATTCTAATTCATATACTAATCTTGAATTTATAATGCGTTCAAGAAGTTCACACAGGCAGCTAGTCAGAGCAATTGGTCGATAATTTGAAGGATTTTCCAAATCTTTGCCTGGCTTAGGAACAGCAACAACATATGATTTGCGCCAAGCTGAAGGAAACTGTCTTTCTAACCATACTTTATTGAAAAGACGTAAAAGGGAGTGGAGTTGAGAGTCTGATAGATGCTTAAGCATATTATTGTGGATATTATCAGGGCCTGGGGATGTTTCTTTGCATTTAATTATTGCAGACTTTAGTTTATGCATCGTTAAAGGTGAATTATAATCGTCACTACGTAAAGGGGGTTTTAGAGCTATTTTCTCTATTCGGGATTTATAGTTTTGAAAGGATTGGAGTTAATTTTCTTTACTGGGGGCAAAGGAAAAGTTTTTGGCTAATGTGTTAGTGATTTCTTTAAGGTCTGTGATTTTATTACCGTTCTCTATTAAATGTGGAATTGGAGAGGAAGTATACTGTCCAGAAATTATTTTAATTTTCTTCCATACTACTGCTGATTTAGTATTACTTGTTATTTCACTTACATATTTAATCTACGAATCTCTCTGACTTTGTCTGCGAATTCTTCGAGCTAGTGACCGCGCTTGTTTAAATAGTATTAAGTTTTCAATTGTTGGATTACGACGAAATTTTCTCCAGGCTTGTCTTTGTTTTCTAATAGTTCTATTGCAATCTTTATTCCACCACGGCTTAGGATATTTTGGTAGTTTTTGTGTTGTATACGGAATGGATTTTTCGGCTGCAGATACTAAAGCGTTTGTAACATATGATGTGGCTTCTTCAGTATCGGTATTATCAATGATGTCTTCATTTAGAATAAATGATTTCTAAAAAAGAGGCCAGTTTGCTAGATTTATACGTAATTTTGGAAAATGCCCTGTAGTTGCAGATCCAGGTTGTAAAACTTTAATTATGAGAGGGAAATGATCACTGTGGTAGAGATAATCTCCGACAGAAAACTTCAATAATGGATAAATACGTGGTAAGCATAGCGTTAGATCGACAGCGTGAAATGTTCTAGATGGGAAATGGAAGTGCGTTTTTTCATCGGTATTCAGCAAACAAAGTTGGTGATCGTCAAATAACTTTTCTATTTGATTGCCGCGTGAATTATTATCATCACTTCCCCACATTACACCATGTCCATTTAAATCTCCCGTGATTATGAAAGGTATTGGTAATTGAGTAACTAGTTTGTCAAGTTCTAATTGTGTAACAGTTTGGTTCGGTGGGAGGTAGATACAGCACATTGTTATGAGTGATTGAAACGTTATTTGTGCTGCTATAGCTTGTAATAGAGTTGAAAGTGGAAATTTGGAAAATGGATAATTTTTTGATATCAAAATTGATATACCACCGCATGCTTTATTACCAGTTATACAGTCTTTTCTTATGTGGGTATATCCTTTTAAAGTAGCCTTTTGCTCTGATTTCAAAAATGTTTCCTGGAGTGCAAAACAGACGGGATTCTGTTGTTCGATAATGTCTTTGATATCGGGCAAGTTGATATAAAAGCCACGACAGTTCCAAGATAGTATTTTTTTTCCCCATTATTTTTCAAATTTTGTGATTTTAGGGCTTAGGTTAACAGGCTTTTCCATACCCTTTTCAATTTGCATTTCCGAGTCGGTGCCATCTTCATCAGAGTACATTTCGTCAGATTGAGAATCTTTTTTATTATTTATAAGTTTTTTACGGTTTTTGTCAAAACGATTTTGTCTGCCTTTAGAAACAAACTTAGCTTTGCTAATCATTGGTGATTGAGATAGTTTTTTATGCAAGACACTTGCTAGTTGAGGTGCAATTTTTATATATTGATTGCTACTAGGATTCTTTTGCGAAGGAATCTGTTGAGAGGGTTGTGGAGAGGGCTGAGAAGATAATGATTTTGAAGTGCTGGGTGTCGGTTGAGTTGCTTTAGAGTATTTTGTTGCTGACAAATTTTTTAGGAAGTAAGGTTTTAAATTTCGTATTCTGTGGGTCTGTTTCTTCTTCATTGTATTGTATGCCAATGGATTTCGTTATTTTAGAGTTAGATACGGCAGCTGCATATGAAATGTTTAGGCGCGGCTGTGAATTTAGAAACTTTGTCTTAGCTTCTGTATAGGAGAGATTGTGTGTTACTTTAGTGTTTAAGATTTGCTTTTCCTGCTTCCATTTTTGACATAATCGTGAATTAGCAGAGTGAGATACATGGCAGTTAATACATAGTTCAGGTGATGTACAAGACTTAAATATATGCCCCGTTTGGCCACAGCGGGAACATGTTTCCTTCCCTCTGCAATTGTTGGTAGAATGGCCAAACTTTTGGCATTTAAAACAACGTAATGGATTGGGAATGTAAGATCGGACTTTGCAATTTCTATATCCAGCTTTTACGTCAGTGGGTAATGTGGCTGTGGTGAAAGTTAAAATTATGTGTTGAGTTTCAATAATTTCTGAACCTTTTTTAATAGTTATGTTTCGGGCATCAATAACGCCTTGAGTAGAGAGTCCTTCAATGATTTCGGATATAGGGAGATATTGTAGAGCTTTATCGGATATGACACCTTTAGATATATTTAAAGTATTGTGTGGAGATGCTGTTATAGTAACATTGCCAAGTTTATGAGATTTTAGTAGTGCAGTTGTTTGTTTAACAGAAGAAGTTTCCACTAATAAATCCCCTGAGGACAGCTGTAGGACATTTTTAGGGTTTCCCACGAGTGATTCTAGTGATTTTTGTACGAGGAATGGAGACAAGGTAGAAAGCTTCTTTTCGGTAGAACTAAGTACTATAAATCTTGCTTGTGTTGGGTCGTAATTTGTACAATTTGAGAGGTTAAAACTAGTGTGGGTTTACTTTGATTGTGTGAAAAAGTTGCTTTCTCCATAATGCAAGAGGTTGCTCCGCTGGACACTCCCATGCCCACCATCGAGCCCAACGAGGGGAACAGAGATATCGGCTCTGAATATTTCAGCCTCGGCACTCTGTTCAGGGTAGCTCCAGTTATAGCACTACACCAGGAGAGTGTGGATCCGCCATTACTATATAGCTCAGAGGCAATCCCATGACGCAGCACGTAGTCTCAATCTGAGTGCAAAGCATGCCCTACCAGCCGGTTGAAAGAGAGGGGGACCTAACTTCCTTCCACTCGTCTACAGTGAAGCATGGGCCAAAGAGCACGCAGTCTACTAACTCCAAGATGAAAATGCCCCCTTGGGCGCCACACTCGTATGAGAGAGCAGACAGGTTGCTCCAGGTTCCCCTTTTCCACCTTACGAGACGCAGCACACGGCAAACGTGCTGGTCAGCAAAAGCTAACGTTCTTAGTCTGTTTACTTTAAGGGAAAATTGGTTATTTAAAATTAATAGGTGAAACATCATTAATCAGGAAACCCGACAAAAATAGTATAAAACAAACAAAAATCTAAAGATCTACTATCTGTAAATGATAAACAGTGCTTCAGAATGAAATGAAATAAAATTCGCTCACTAGGTCAATATAAATATTTGATAAAAGGTCGGAAACTCAAAACAGGACCGTCGCAAGAGAGAAATGGAAAAATGCTCAGGTCCAGCTCGGGGCCCCGGGTGCGCCGTGCCCGTCACACAAGAGTGTGCCCCTGGGGGGGAGGTCCGGGAGGACACCAGCAGAAAATAGATGTTCAGCCAGACAGTCATGCCGGGAACAAATTCTGAACATCGCAACCGCATCACGTTGAGGATACTCCGGAATGCTCAGCTGATCTAAATGTACCCAACTTTTGGAAGCAGTACGTGTCCTTATATCTCTATAAAATTGAGAATACACTCTGTTCTTAATAAGTCGCTTCGTAGTACAAAAAGGAACGTTATTATTCATGAGCTGCAACACCTCAGTGCCTCTCTTCGCCTATGCGGCTGCCCGCTCATTTCCACTAAGCCCACAATGAGCCGGAACCCACTGCAGAACAGTCGCTTTTCCCAATTGTTCTAGTTTTTTAATGGATAGTAGGCAGTCCAATATGTCCCTAGAAGATGGGACGAGAATGGAGCATATGGACTGGATAGAAGCTCTGGAGTCAGATAAGATAACAGCATTTTGAAATTTATCATTAAGAACGACCAACTGTTGAAGAGCCATGCGAATAGCTGAAACCACCCCATCGAATGCGGTTCGGAAACTTCCGATTGGGGCATAAAAAGAAAACAGTTCGCTAAAGACACCCGCTCCAGCATTAGGTTGGTTATTTGAAAAAGAGCCGTCAGTATAAACCCGCGGCCATTCAGGTTCAGGGAATCTGTTATTTAGAGTCTCCAGAGCAAGGGAGAGAGGAACTTCAGGAGCATTGGAGGACCGGGAGTTGCAGGTCCAGATACTTCCTAATCTCATGAACTAGTAGTGGATTACGTGGCTTCATAACTTTATTCACTGTTACTGGAAGTTGAAGAGCATCTCTGAAGCCATGGGCTATCTGAACAAAACCATTTTGGGTTTTAAGATTTCGAGAAGAATTTCGATAGTTCATCCAAAAAGCATCATTAAGATGGAGGAGTTTTTCATAAAGAATTAAAGCTTTCTCCTCGAAGTCAACCTCCAGTGGTTTAATATTTGTGAGTAGTAACTTGGAATCAATGGGTGTAGTTTTAACTGCACTAGTAATGAGTCTGAGGGCTTGGTTTTGAATAACCTCCAGTTTGCTCATCAAATTTTTATACATTGTTATTAGTGGTTCACAACAATACGTGAAGATAAGAAGGATAAAGGTACGATAGGTGGCAACAAGGGTTGATCGCGCATAGCCCCAAAGGCAGCCAGCTAGAATTTTGAGGATGGAGAAGCGTTTTGTAATGCGATCAGAAATGTACTCAACGTGATATTTCCAGCACAATTTAGAGTCAACAACCAGTAACTTGTATTCGGGATATTTTCCAACACATACATTGGTAAATAGTTATGCTACCTAATATATTGATGCTTTTGAGCATTCTTTCCCAGACTGAGAAGAGAAATTCCATTTTTAAATGATTGGTTGCGTAAGCATAGCTATCAGTTTAGTAGAATGCCGAGCAAGTATGAAACGCGTTACAAGCCTTGTGATATTTGTACATTATTACATATAAAAGGTATAGATGTTTCGTTATTTGAGTATAGTCATTTTTTCTTAGCTTTGCTTGATCACATTCAGTTTTTGCATTCACAAAACGTGTTACTTCAGTTTATGTTTATGAGGCGATTCCTTTAATTCAAGCTAAAAAAAAAATGCAAAAATTATTTAAGGAGAGGTGCAAGATAGAGAAAGCGTGAATGGGCTGCACTTTCTATATCAAACACTTTAAGATGTTTTTGGAGCAAGTAAGAGTCAGGATGCGTCTATTTCTACAATGAAATAAATTGGGCGCGAATAGTTCTATTCTTTTATTGAATGCCTACATGTTCCCGATATCCTTCCAAGAAGAAGAGTAAGAAACACTTACCATTATAATCAATATTGAGGGTTTAAGAGTTCACTTTGCCAAAGTTATTATAACTATAATTTGATATTCAACTGAATTTAGTACAAGATTACAGGGCTATTAAATTCCCTTAAGCTTCTATACTGCCTGAACAGATACTATGATACAGGTGAATCTACAGTAAATTCATATTTAGAAAATTGCAGCATGCAATTATTTAGAAATGAAAGAAAATGCTTATTAATGGATCAAAGTATTGGAGTGGATGAAATTTTTTTACGGAAGATACTATCGCCACCAGTCTATAGTTTTTGTCAAAAAAAGGCCATATATGTATATATATCGCCCATTCATATGTTTAAGAGCGAACAATTAAAAGGGGCTAAAAGGGCAATTGCCATTAATTGAAGTAAATATTCCACCCTCTATTATCTACTTAAACCCAACAATAATTCTGAAAAAAGTATTATTTATTATGTGCTAAACCAAATTTTTCTTTCTTCAATTTTTAGTACTAGCAGTTTTAAGAAAGAGACATATGGCGCATCTGTACTAAAAATGCACAACGAACGTTTGGATCTAGCGTAACTTTCAGATGTAATTCTCAAGCCTATGACAGTGCTACTTCAATGTTTTTTATACGGAAGCTTTTGATAATATTGCTGATTAATAATAATAATAATTTCAAAAAAAACGTTGATCACCCCCTTAGTTGACCATTATCTTATTTTTATAAATATAATAATCCGTAATATAAGAAGTGAATTGCAGTGATAAAAAAGAAGCTATTTAATAGTGCATACGGGATGCATTACTTAAGAGACAAATGAGCTTTAATGACAGATTTCTAATCAAGATGAATTTATAGGATTTTATAAAAGAAAGATAAGTTGTGAAAAGCAGTTTCTTAGCCGTTCTCGATAAAAAGAAATCAGAATAATGCCTTCATTATTGAAATGAAAGTTTCAACTAAATACCTTAGAGCAATATATAATATATCTAGCACAAATTCTGGAAAATATATATCCTAGATCTTATAACTCTGCTGCTATTGGTAACTAGGGTAGAGTTGAGCCAGGGTCTATTCTTAAATTAGCATCCATGTCTACTTGGTAATAGAAATCTTATTATGCCAACTTATTAAACCATTTAAAAAAATATTTAATGCGAATTCTCTAACAATTATTGATTACATTAAAAAGCTTGCAATGGTCCAGCTCTAAAATATTGAATTAGTTGGCGATGGGAAACCTTTAATGTTCATTTCGATAAGAAAGTAGGGTGGCACTTCCATAGATCTCTATTAATTACAAACTTACAGATTACACACCTTCTTGATTGTCTATATAACGCAGTGGCAAATGTCAAGATATTCATTCCTATGCAGGTACAACACATAGCATGGTATGAGTCTTTCGACTACCATTCTAATAGAGAAGGTTTGTTCACATGAAACTGACGTAATTTCAATGTTGGTAGAACAGAGGTCAACGTGTAAAGTATGGATTTATAATACAGCTGGGATCTATTATGAAATTGTCATTTACGCTTGCTTTTTTAGAGAAAAAAAAATGCCTACTTACAAAACCAATAGATACGGGATATGCTGCGATTCAATTTTGTGCAAAAATGAAGCTATAGGTTATTTGACTTGCAATCGATATTTAGAAACTTTTATAAGGATAGCATCTATTTCGCTATTTAAGAAAAATTTGTTTCAAATCCCCAAATTTTTATTAACTGAAAAAACTAGTAATACATCAGTCCTTGTGTATTGAAGTAGTTGGAGAAAAGAAATCCTGTATCATATTTGCCAATTTTTATTCTTTCCTCGGAAGAATTTTCACGGTGGTAGGGAAGGGAAAACCAAATTATTATTGCATGCTAAAATATTTGTTTTATATTTTGTGCTATAATTTAAGCGCATCTTCATATGATAATCAAGCATTTATATATATTAGCGATATTTGTTTATATGCAGAGGTGTTAAGTTAGATCGTGATTGTTTTCTACCTCCCCCTTCCCGATGGAATTTTTTAAGTGGTAAGGAAGTGATAACTGAATTATAATTACATGCAAAAAAATTTTTTTAAACTTTACCGGAATCTCAACTTATTATCAAGTAATAATCGAGTATTTATATAACAGTCTATTTGTTTACATACATAGGTGGTCAAATATATTGTGAGATACATATTCAATGATATGGTTGTTTATCTTTTTTGGCGCCAAATCAGGATGCATTGCACAGAGTACTTAGTTCATATAAAACCAAAATTTAATGTGAAGGGAAGTAGCCTTTATCTTTAAGAATGTCAATAAGGTTTTGGTGCAGAGTTGTGCCAAGTTAAAAAAATTTGGAAAAATATATCATTATTAAAATAACGACTTCTCTTAATTTCTAAGTTAGAACAGTGTCAAGATTTTCTTTATGGTTCTCTGCAACTAGAGCAAACGGCTGATAGTTCTTTTAGTGAAAGGCGTCTATGATTGATGTATATGAATGGTTATCAATCATATATGGCCAATTCGTAATCTGTTTGAAATGCTAATAACCTTTCTGGAATTATTTCTTTTAAAAGGGGTGACCTACGGTCCGATTTCAAATTTGTTGTAGATCTTCGTGTCCCATTCCATCTGCTAATTATTAAAGTATCTGTTACTTTCTTAATTACGTCAAAGCAAAAAACGAGTGAGTCTGATCTATAGATTTTGTAGTGAAACAATTATGAACAAATCAGAATTATAAATAGCTATCTCGGAATCCACCCTGTTTAGAAGATAGGATGTATTTTGGTTTTTAGTTAGATGAATACTTTGGACCTTTTCTAGTTTTGGAGTTCTCGTAATTTTTAGATTAGCAATTACATTTAATTTCCTCCAATTTGAGGAAAAGTCCTCTCACATTTAAACTTGCTATAAAGTTTTAAAATATTCAAAAGTTGGGATTGAGAAAGTTTTTAGTACGAACCAGAACCAGGCGTGGTAATTTTACTGCAGTCTTTAGCCCAACTTGTGTAATAATGGAATTATACCCATCAATCGGCTGAAATGGACAATTTAATGCTCTTTTCTTTCAATTTTAAATTTATACTGTTCAAGGATGGGTATTAATTTGATTGATTTTAAATCTTTGAAAAAATTTCTTCCGGAAAAATTCATTATATTTATTTTGTTAACACGTTGAATCCAGAAGTTTCTTTTGATCTGTCATCGTACTTTTCAAGCTTTTCTTAAAATCTATTAAGTTTCCGCTAGTTGGATAACGACGGAATTTTTTCCATGCTTTACTTTGAGGGATTAAGGTGCTTGTTTGCATTCATCGTTCTACCATGGTTTAGGAAATTTTTGTTTGAGACACTTAATATTGGCTACACCAGCTGCTCAAGTTATGTTTTCTGTTATGCGGGTTGCAGCTTTAGCTGGCAATATTTATTCATCAAATAAAAGAGAATTGAAAAATCGATGAAAATTCTCAACGGCAATCTGAAGTTAACGAAAGCAAAATGTGTTATTTGATATTGATACCTTTGCAACATGTGGGAATGTTCATTAAGATAAAGGCTTACTTCAATAGATAGATGGCAATGGAGTGATGCTTAAAACTGCGCCTAAGACTAGATTAAAATTTTTGTAGCTTGGTTGAAATTAATACAATAACGTTTAAATTGGTCAACTCGTAAAAAATTAGAGCTCAGTCGAATTATAAAACACAGAATCTTTAAGATAAAGCATTAAGTTTGGATAAGGTGTAATTTAAATTCGAGGGATTAAGTCTGATACTGTCTATTAAATTTTAAGCACAGAGTTAAAAAATGCTTCACTGTAAGAGACTCCCAACAAAAATTGCATTGTAAGGATGCTTCGTTTGGAATTAAGTATTTGTGCGTTAAGCGGAGATGTTGCATACATTTTTTGTTGATGGAGACTGGTGTC